CAACCCCTGTTGTTGGGCGTCGCAAATTCACTCCAAGGTAGGACGTTTTTATTATCCTTGAGTTTGAGCTTTTCTTAAGTAGGATTTGTTCTGAAAGATATAGGTATATTTTTAAAAATAATCCTTGGTCATTGCTTGAGGACTAAGTGTATCAGTAGAGTGCGTGAAGTTAATTAAAGATGCAAATATAGATTGTAACCTTAAATTATCTATGGCTATCATGCTCTTCTGTAATCTCAGCTACAGCCAATATTTTGATTCATTCTTTAATGTTACCAACAATTATTAGCCTGCCATGGAGGGATTTTTGTTATGATGAGGGATCATGATTTTAATTATGTATAAAAAATAATGATGATTGTAATGATGGTGGTGGTGGTGATAATTATTGTTGTTTTTATTTTTATTCTAATTCATATACTCCAATTTTTTTTTTTCATTCATTATCATTTTTTTTACCATCATGTGCACTTTTTGCAGTGAATTCCTTTGCCGGGGCCTCTCCAGCCTGCAGAAGCAAGGGCAGATGTCGAGCATGAAGACAGAGACCAAGGAAAACAGTGCAGAAAAGAGTGGAAGCAACAAGGAACAGGAAACACCAGTTGATCCTCGGGAAGAGGAACTAAAGGTTAGTGATTCAACAGTGACAGAATGTGGGATTGATGATGCTGATTCTGTTAATGCTGGGATGGCATACATGCCATATCCACCATAATTTTTGTTTACTGATTTTGTTTACACATTGGATTTAGTTAACATGGAGTCAGTCAATTGCTTGCTGTTACTTATTTTGCCTATTTTTCCTTTTTCCATGATAATAATAATAATAATAATAATAATAATAATAATAATAATAATAATAATAATAATAATAATAATAATAATAAAAATAAAACTCTTCATATTGTTAAGTTATAATAATCATAATTTCAGTATTAATCCTGACAGTGGCAATATTAATTGTAATAGAAAAAAATCTCCCAAAAGGAATAGAGTAATCAGGTGAATATAATGAAGATTATATTACAAAATTATATAACTTAGTTAACTGAGGTATTGTAAGATGGGAAGGATATATGTGCAGGAGCTTACAAGAAGTTATGTGGTATTGTGTGTCTTTCTCTCACTCAACTTCTGTCTGTCTGTCTGTCTCTGTCTCTCTCACTCTGACTGTCTGTCTGTCTGTCTGTCTCTCTCACTCTGTCTGACTGTCTGTCTGTCTGTCTCTCTCACTATGACTGTCTGTCTGTCTCTCTCACTCTTTCTTTCTCTCTCTCTCTCTCTCTCTCTCTCTCTCTCTCTCTCTCACAATCTCTCATGAAGATAAAAACATTTTCAGGTTAAACTGTATCAGTCACTGATTGCACTGCGTAACCAGCTCGGAGAAGAGAGCGGATTCATGCCTTATTTGGTGGCCACGAACAGGGTCTTGCTGCAGCTTGCCCAGGCCAGACCATCTACACTTAGTGCATTGCGCATGAGTAAGAAATTGGATGTGGATGTTTTGTTTATTCTTATTTTTTTGTTTGTTTGTTATAGAATCAGCTATGTAAAAATATTATCATAGATTTATGATTTGATTAGAAAAAAAATACATCTGAGTGATTCATCAAGGTTCAATATTAATAGATGAACTACTTGAAAAATCCAGGATTGGAGCTCTGAAGTACCTCCTTTGTTTGACAAAATGTTTAATTTCTGATCATACAAGTTACTAATTAGACATTTTGTATTTTCATTTCAGCTGAAGGCATACCTGAAGTGAAGGTGCAGAAATTTGGTCCTGCTATAGTCAAACACATTAAAGAATTTTGTATCAAACATAATCTTTCACATCAAACTGAAGGTGATGGTGGAGCGGACATGGCAAATGTAAGTGTATGTTCTTCAAGGATGCTGTAGGTGTTTAGATATTAGTTTGATTTGTTTGAATATTGTTTAATTTGTATGTTTTTTTGTTTTTTTTTTGAGGGGGGGGAATAGATAATAAATAATCATAACTAAATTTTTTTTTTTACCTGGATCATCCTTCTTTGTAGGAATTAAGCATTGTGAATATACATAGTGAATTCCTGTCAAATATATGCATTATGAGAAAATAACAATTTATTTCCTCCTTCAGACCATAGATGAAGAATCAAAACCATCGACCAGCAATAAACCCAGCAGTTTTGTTACATCCAAGCAACTCTATACATCGCAGCCTACTCTGGACACTTTTAAGTACAATTCCTCAAAGACCAGCAGTTCATCAGGCTGGATATCGGCAACCAAAGCCAAGGTTTCCAAATCGCCATCACAAATGGATGATTCACAGGAGGACAAAGGACTGTCTACTTTAAAAGGCATTGAAGATACCCAGGGAAGCAGTGTGAGAAATCATTCCAAAGAGACATTGAGTCGGGTGAGCAATGGGTCTAAAGGCACATCGCCCGATAGTGATAAGGATAGATGCAGCCATGTTGAGGAAGTTGGTACAAACAAGCAGGCTGGCAAATCAAAGTATTTTGTTCCCAGCTTGGACTCGTTAGATGCTGATGCTGATGCTGATTTGTTTGGAGCAGAAGATGAAGATGGCTGTAACAGCAGCTTCTTCAGTGGTCAGAAGAACAAAACGACTTTGTTAGAAAAGGAAAAGAGTGATTCTAGGACTCTCAAGACTGATTTAGATGAAGAAACTGGAAACAGCAAAAAAGACAAAGATGACAGCAAACCAGCACTGGATAGATCACAGTCAGCCACCAGATCAAAAGCATCATGAGATTTATGAGTTGTTTTTAAAAAATACATCTGAGTGATTCATCAAGGTTCAATATCAATAGATGAACTACTTGAAAAATCCAGGATTGGAGCTCTGAAGTACCTCCTTTGTTTGACAAAATGTTTAATTTGTGATCATACAAGTTACTAATTATACATTTTGTATTTTCATTTCAGCTGAAGGCATACCTGAAGTGAAGGTGCAGAAATTTGGTCCTGCCATAGTCAAACACATTAAAGAATTTTGTATCAAACATAATCTTTCACATCAAACTGAAGGTGATGGTGGAGTGGACATGGCAAATGTAAGTGTATGTTCTTCAAGGATGCTGTAGGTGTTTAGATATTAGTTTGATTTGTTTGAATATTGTTTAATTTGTATGTTTTTTTTTTTTTGTGTTTTGCTTTCACAAAGTTAAAGAAGAAAATAAGAGAGGGAGACGTCAGTAGCGATCCGCAAGGACCTGGCTTGAACTACCAACCGTCTCTGATGGATACGAGAGTAGGTAAGGGTAACGGCAATAGCAAACCGCAAGGATTTACTTGAGCCAATTGCCGTAACAGAGAAGTGTATGTAAAAATAAGAAATCATGTACTAGTCCCTCGTCACG